GTTTTGGTATATAAAAGCGCCGACAACGTCCTGTACTAGATCAGACCGCATATTTTCACGGTGAACCTCAGAGCTCCGGTTCCGATTCATTGAAAACTTCCTTGAAAAACACCGACAAACGTCTTCTTCTCGATGGAGGAACAAAATGGGACTGTAAATGGTGTTAAAATCAAGCTGGAGGAAGAAGAAACTAATGACGACCTTAGAACTACTCCCGACCATCAAAACGACGCCGGCGCTTCTCAGCCTCTTACCGGAGATGGTGCTAGTCCTGGGTATTTTTTTTTACTGTTTTGTCCTTTACGTTCTAGGCTGTACCCTTTTTCTTTTATCTAAGACCCATGCTGTATGTTTTTTCTTCTTTTAGTATTGTTATTAGGGCTTGTGTTTAATAGGTATTAACTTGCAAGTGTTGTTAATGTCGAGATGATTAAGACCTGAAGCTAGGTTGTAAGCTCCTTTCTCAAAGGAGGAAGGAAAACGATAAGCATAGTTATTAAATTGCTCTTAATTAAACAAGGTGAATAAATATGTTGATGATTAGGAATATAAATTTAGAGTTGAAATTTCATCATTCTGTATGAATCAGAATCAGAGTTTAAGATGCTGTTTGGGCTTGATTTTAGTTATTTTTCAGTTTCTTAGTCCTCATAACTTTTCATTGTGTTACATTTATATTTCTTACGTTTTTGCTCTCCTTCTTGGAGAGGAGTTCGTGGAGGACACAAATTAGGGTAGAAGGTTAGTATGTGCTAGTGCATTGTCTTGTTGTTTGTCCATTAATAGTAGTATTATTACTCTTGTAGTTTCTTTGCCTTTCCGATCTTTGTTACTATTTGTTGAATCTTGTACTTTGACTATTGTATTTGTTTTGTTTTAATACTCTTATTTTATCATCCGTTGTTGTTTTTGTTACTGTGTTGTTTCCCGCACTTCCGCTATTTCTTTTTTCTGTATGGCTTTGGACTGTTTTCTTGAGCTGGTGGTGTATCTGAAATAATCTCTGCATTTATGAGGTAGGGGTAAGGCTTGTATACACTCTACACTCTACGCTCTCCTCATACCCCACTTTGTGGTTGTTGCTTATCTGCAACATACCCATCGAAATTTTTTAAGTGAGCTCTGAATGTTGTTGCTTGTCTATGCCTTCCATTTTAACAACACTGTAATTTACTATCAGTGTATTGGATAAGTTTTTTAATTTGATGATTTTCTTCTGTGCCCTTTTCAATTTCTTCTGATGTGAGGTTCTTCTCGTTGAAGTTACTTATCTCAAAAAAAAAGTTAGTTGTTGGTTGGGCATGCCTCTCAGTTTTCATAGAATGTTATCCTATTAATCAACTTGCTCATGGTATTTTATTAATCAATGGATTTGGTGGCCATGCAGAAAGATTTTTATTGGGGGCTTGGCTAGAGAGACAACTTCAGGTTTGTCGAATAACATCCGCTGCTTTGATCTTCTGCCAAATTGTTTTCTTTCTTGCCTCTAATGTTGCATTGTATATCTGCAGCTCAATTTGTCAAGCACTTCGGTAAATATGGTGAAATTATTGATTCCGTGATTATGAAGGAAAGGCGGACAGGACAGCCACGTGGGTTTGGTTTTGTGACTTATGCTGACCCATCCGTGGTAGATAAAGTCATTGAGGACGACCATGTTATAAATGGAAAGCAAGTAAGATTACATTAGCCTTCTATTTTATTTCATTCTTATAGCAGCTTGTGATTTCATTTCCTTTTTATTTTAGTGTGGATAGACAATTTGGGACCTCATGCTGATGTTTTGATTGTGTCAGGTGGAAATCAAGCGAACTATACCTAGAGGAGGAGGTTCCAGCTCAAAAGATTTCAAGACAAAGAAGATTTTTGTGGGCGGTATCCCAACAACAATTAGTGAAGGTTATATTTCTGTAGCTAGACTGATCACCTTGCCTTTAGTCGTTGGATTCTTTTGAAACAAGTCTTTGAGGTATTAAGTTGCATTTATATTTCAGATGAGTTCAGAGACTTCTTTTTAAAGTTTGGAGAGGTGAAAGAGCACCAGATCATGCGTGACCATTCTACTAGTCGTTCTCGTGGCTTTGGATTCATCACTTTTGACACAGAAAAATCTGTCGAGGATATCTTGGCTAATGGAAACAAGCTTGATTTTTCTGGAACCCAGGTTAGTATAGCCATAGTGTTGTCTAATTAAGGCGGTGATACTTTTTCTAGATTGTTTCATTAATCTTGTGAAGTTATCAAGCTTTTCTGCCCTTCTTCAAACATGATTTCAGTGGCAATGTTGCACTCTTAAGTATATGTGCTTCTTGTGTTTTTTTCTTTATGTTCTAGGCCTTCTGACAAATGTCCTTAATTTGATAAGGATTGAGCTTGTGTTCTTTCTCAATTTTCTTGGAAAGAATTAATGAAACTGACTGCCAAACCCAATGAAATATCAATAGTATGTATTTGGGTAGCAATGTTTCTATGTTCATTGTGACTTGGTACTGATGCATCTTTTGTCTAACTTATCATTGAGTTGAGGTGCTGAAGTTGTCTTAACTGTATTGAGGCTCAAGAAGTTGAGAATTGTTCTTGTGTATCCATACAAGCTTATTTTCTTAGTGATGATGCTCAAGTTACTATTGTTTGGAAATAATTAGTAATTGAAATGATTCTGCTAATGGTAGTTGAACATTCATCTGTTGCATGATCATGTTATTTTAAATAACCTTTTGAAGCTTGGTTAAGCTAAACAGTTCTCTACATGGCAAATAGGTGGAAATCAAGAAGGCTGAGCCCAAGAGACCTAATGCGCCACAACCAGCCCCATTCAGGCGTCAAGGGAATCCAAGAGCTGCATTTGGTGGTGGATTTTCAGATGCTTATGGTGGATATGGAGACTCTGGTTATGGTGTTGTTGCTGGTCCTGGTCCTGGTCCTTACAGGTCTGGTGGCCCCTATGGTGGCAGATCCAGTGCATTTGGTGGATATAGTGGAGGAGGAATGGGTGGATATGGAGCATATGGTGGCGGTGGTGCCTACGGAGGAGGTTTCAGGGAGGAGGCTTCTTTTGGGTATTCTAGCCGTTATGGCAGTGGAGCCTTTGGTAGAGGCTACGATGTTGGTGGTGGATATGGAGGAGCAGGTGAAGGTTATGGAGGATATGGTGCTGGTGGCGGTGGATATGGCAGTGGATATGGTGCCGCTGGTCTTGGCAGTGGGTATGGAGGAGATAGTGCAGGAGGTTCAATGTATGGAAGCAGTAGAGGAAGCTATGGTGGTGCTGGTGCTGGTTCAGGCAGATACCACCCTTATGGAAGATAGAAAGTGAAATGTTGAAGGTGCAAAGCTGAATTGTTTCTGGCTTGGTGATTTTAAGCTTATGACCAGAGATGTATACTCATCAAGCACTTGTTGAGAGCTAAATCTTGTTTTTTTTTCTCTTATCGAATTTTAATTGAAAAAATATTAGTTCAGTTAATATACTGGTGTCTTTGATATCGATTGGTTTATCAAGGAACACGACTCATCCATCTGCAATCCTCAAGCAGCATTGTCAAATTGATGTTCAATTCTTTTATGTGCTAGAGGTTTGCATCTCTTTTTTCTTTTAATTAGTTTGGACTAAACCAGTAAATTTATGGATCCTAGAGACTGTCTAAATGAGCAAATGATGATTTTATATTCTGATGTTGTAGTGTGTTTCTTATCATTACTAATTTGAGAAGCGTATGATAAAAACATATAGGGTGCCTTCTATGTGATAGAAAACATTTCTGATTATTTTTCATTGCCGTGACGATTGAAAATAAGTAACATTTCAAATTTTTTGTTCGTGCCCCTAATGTATCTGTAGGAGAACAGTAGACGTGTCATCAAAAGATAAAACAAAAAAGAGTAGCCACACGATTGGAGCGAACCCAACCGTTGTTGGAATTTATTGCCAAAACAAAACCAAATTCTCATATTCTTGTGGACCTTCTTTTAACCTTATCAAAAATTGAAATCACTACTAATTACTAATTCTTAGCCATTTTATAACCAACCAATACTACTAAATTCATAAATCATAATTACTATGGAAAAGGGTCAAAATTGCCTCTAAATTATGTGAAATAGATTATTTATACTCTCCATTATATGTTGGGATAAAAAATACTCCCGCTGTTATCGTAGGAGACCACAAATATACACCCCAACTTTTTAGTAATGTGACATGTCACATGGGACTAATCCCTCCATCTAAGTGTTGCCAACTAGGATTCACTACAAAAGAACTAGACCTATAGCAGCGACAATAGTCGCCACAAAAGCCCAAAAAATCATCACCAGAAGTTTTTAATATTAAATTCTAATTTTATGTTTTTTTCTTCATCGTTTTTAAAAGTCAAAAATGATATCGATTAAGTAAGAGTTTGAAGACATTGTATGTTATATTTTTATAGTATATATAAACATATAAAATGTACAATGATGAATTATATAGCAGGAGATATGAATCGAGAAGTAATTTTCATGATTTTTCGTAATAATATTAAGTGTTTTTAATATTGATATTGCAAGTTATTTATTTTAGAAAATTAGGTTGCGATCAAAAATTAATTATCATATTTTTTTTGTTGAAAAGTCATCACTAAAAATCATTCATAACCTTTAGTGACAATATTTTTTTTTAATAACTCTACATGTAGAGATTTTGGGAGGTTAAATATATGTAGATTTTTATCTTTATCCTAGTGACATGAAGATGTTTTTTTTTTTATATAAATTCTTAATTCGAAAAGAAATATTATTCTATTTGAAAAAGGTGCAAAAGTAAAAAATGTGATAAAAATATTGAAAAGTGAAAGCACAATTAAATAGATGCTTTAGACCAGAATTATGGTATATCACTAAAAGAAAATACTAAACCATGTACTAATTGTGAGATCTAATCCTTGACCTCCATGCTTTGTTTTGTAAAGTCCTATACTTGATGTCTTGTACTATTCTACTTATATGTCATACAACGTGCGAGTTTTTAATGGCGCCATACGTGTACAACACACTTTTATCTAACCACCCTCTATAATTTTATTTTTAACAAAATCCTTTTCACTTATTTTTTTGGTTGGTGAAAATTGAGCAAGAAACTGGACATACCAAATAAAAATCTTGATTTTGGATCAAGAAGCAGAAATTGATAAGGAATTAAGGAAATGGCTCTGGTTTCTAACACTAACTCATTCTTAAAGGTACGAATAGAACTCTGCAATCTCCCTCTTTTTGTTGTTGTTAAGCGTGTGAGTGGGTTTTTGATACTATTAGTAAAATTGCAGTCACAGAGGCACCAAGTTTACTGCAGAAAGAAGGAGAAAGATAAGAGTCAAAATCCCCAACCCTATAAAGTCATTGAAATTTCACCCCCTCCCAAGAACCTTGGCATACGTTGCCTCCCCTCGGTAAGCATCATTTTGTTTTTGTGTTTCTGTTTGATATATAATGCTTATGTGTCTCGAATGCTCAGTTGATTGATTGATTAATTGGTGTTATGATTATTATGTTTACGCTGATGCTCCTTTTCTTGCAATCGCTGTTTTTTTAATTGTTTGAATATACTTAAAAAGCCAAATGCCCCATTTGTGAGTTGTGAGATTATACACGGTATGTTGTTGTTGTAGTTGAAAGGCCATATACCATCTTACTTTTACTGGGAAGATTAGAAAAGAGCTTTCTTTACATTGGAATTATTGTAACTTGATTGGATTAGAAATGTGAAGAGTAATTCATTTGGGGTTTAATGTATTTTATGTTCAATATTGCTGGTTCCAATTCATTCTGTATGAAGTTTACAAACTTGGTTGATTGGCTTTTGTTGAATGTCTTACGTTTGTTTTATGGCATTCTTATGGTCACATTTTAGGATTAGTTCATGTTCCTTATACGTTTATATGGATGTTAACATCCTCAACTCCAAATTAGTTAGTGTCAGCTTTATGTACCCGTGAATACATTAGCTAAGAGAAGTGTCAACTACATGAATCCTCTATTTGGGTTGATTTCCTTGCAAATACCTGTACTGTGGTTGGAGCAAATATTGTGCTAGTGTCCCCACAGGATTTGGTTGGTTTGATCTAGACGGTAGTTGTTCCTCATAAGTCATAGCATATGAGCTACTCTAGAATTAAGGATAGTAGTTTGGGAACTCTTTGGTATTAACTGTGCTTGTAGTATTGCTTACAAAGAACCAAAACTAAGAGGGAACAATTTAAAGTGAATATCTGTTTTCTTGCTGGATGCTGAGTAATGGGTGAATTTCCATGCATGAGATAGAAAAAGGGCAGATGTTTGAAGGCACACAAGTTGGTTTCCTGTGATAGTGTCTCACATTCCATACCTGCTTGAATATAGACGCTGGTCTATTGATGGCAAATGGTTTTATGTGAGATGTGTTAGAATTAGATGGCTTCACATATGTTAGACCTGTATAAATGACTAAATGTGTCCAAAACTGCAGTTCTCTGTTATTTATTAATAAGTTGATTGTAACTTGGTCGAAGTCTGTGACTCCTACAACTTGCCAATACTAGACTTATGTATAAATCTCTTTTGAGTATTCTTTGTTTTGCATGAATTTCTGAGATATCTTCGCAAAGCACTCAACAACGTTATGGTATTCTACTATTCATGCCAACCATCTACGATTTCCTTTGCCCAGAACTTGACATGATTCAGATCACAGTTGTGTATTCATGCCAATCTTTTACAGTTCCCTTCACCTAAAACTTGGCCTGATTTAGTTCACAGTCATCAAATTGACCATGTTTTGATCTCATTTTCAACATGTTTTTTGCAACTTTCCAGAATAAGATGTATATAAAAACGGCAGATACCAACAGTTCAATACAATTTGTAAGAACGAGATGATGTTCAGTCTTTATTTTCAAAAATCATGTTCAAAGAAAAAATTGTTACTTTTCGAGAAGTTAATTGGTCAATTTTTGGAATAAAGGGATATTAAAATTACTATAGAAGATATATGGAAAAGCTTCTTTCCTTCCTTCTAATTCATAATTTCCTTTTGTAAGTATTGCAATTTGAGAAATAGCACAGAACAGAACACAATACTACAGAGTTAGAAAATAGAGAAAGCAGTATATTGTAGTAGAGTCAAGTGAGTTGTGAACTGTTATCTTTGTCCAAAAATGTTAAATGAGTTGTGGACTAGTGCAGCCACTTAAGCAGAGGAGTGGAGCTTTCCACTGATAGAGAAGTGTAAAATTTGTGGTGAAACAGCACTGGCAGGATATGTAAAGAATTGCTGACAAGGGTTACTCGAGTAAAGTCACTAATCTAATGATTTGTCACAGTAAAGTTCACTTAACCATGCGGTCTCAGGTTCAATTTCGGGTGGAGACAAAAAACACGTGGTGATTTCTTCCCATCCATCCAAGCCTTGGTGGATGGAGTTACCCGTAACCTGTGCTAGTGCTGGTGGAAGCAGCAGGTAACTCGTGGAAGTAACCGAGCTAAAGTTGATCCGAATACCCCGGTTATAAAATAACAAAACAAAAAAGTAGTTTTGTGACTTTTGTGTTACAAATAGTTAGTTTAGTGACTTTACCTTAACAAAAATAGTTTTCTGACTTGAGTGTTATGAAGAGTAAGTTAGTAATGGTAGGTGAAAGTAACCCGATTCGTTTGTTGTTAAAAAGGTAAAGTTAGGCTGTTACTTTATTCAAGGGCCCACAGTTAGCAAATTTTTGCTTTAGCTCTAGATCATAGAACTGAAAGATAGATGCCTGATATGCTTGCCTTCCAGTGCTAGGGTCATTGTGTCTGCATTAGCACACTTGCCTAAAGCATTTTTACTTTGTTCAAGCCTTGACGTGTTACTAGCTGATGATATTTCTGTTTAGGATGTGAAGGCTGAAGCTTCTTTAGTTCTATTATTGATCTGTCTGTTCATCTGCTGGCTTCTTTTGGGCCCTTTAGCTTGTCCTTCATTCAGAGCCAGTCATAGGAAGCTGTATATGATAGGTGTGTGTCATAGGAAGCTGTCTATGATAGGTGTGTGTCAGAACAATTATTCTCCTTAACTTTTTCCCTGAATCAAGTTTCAGAATGATAATGATGGCATCATAATTATTCCCATGACTGAACGAATCCTATGGGAGAACTAGGGAAGGAAGCAATATGATATTGTTCCTTAATGAAGCTCCAATTTTGGAAGGTTGAATGGCCCGGGTTTGGAGAGGGGGGGGGGGGGAGAGGGGAGGAGCGAACCATGTATCCTGCACTAAGCACAAACAGGAAGAAGTCCCATCAAAGGCTAGGTCATATGTGTGATGTGCAAGGCGAAGGTAAATGACACTAAGAGGGATGATCTTCCTATTTCTTTTCGCTAGAAGCAAATTTTGAGCTCTGAGGTTCCTTTTTGAAGATGAACAAACCTTTATTATAAAAGATTAGAGGTGTTCCCTATTGTTGATAAACTTATTTACCTTATAAAAAAAATACAAACCTCTATTATCATTCATGTTCGAATTGGCTGTACTTATTCTGTTCTTGCAGAGAACAGAAGAAATAAATCACTTGGTTTGTCCCTTTGGGGACATCTGATAAAACTGTAAATATATCACAGGTTCCAATGGTTCACCGTAAAACATAAAAGTGATTAGTAGCTCTGAATTTTTAACTGGCTGAATGTAATATCATCAAGCTCTTTGTGCATTTAAATTTCATGATCCTGCTTACTTGTGAACTACTTTTATTTGTTATTTTCTACCTTTTTGGTTCACCCAGAAAGATGAATGTAGAAACATAGCTCATCTGTCAGAAAATACAGTCAGTAAGAAGTGATTTACCTGTTCAGGCAACCACGATTCTATTATTCATGGTCTTTATTGGCAGTTTCATTAAGACTTAGAACTACTCATAAAGCTTGTGTTTTTCGTGTTCCAATGTAATACTCACATCTTAGCTTGACGTGAAACTAAGCTAGCCACACACACTGCATCAGATGCTTTTCATATATCCAACATTCATGCCATACAAAAGACATATGACCTTTCTGTCATGTTTCCAATAATGCTTCACTAATTCATTGAAACTGGCTACATGCATAGGGCCTACATAAGATTTTTGAATTGACAGACGTCCAACAATGCTTTTCGCAGTTGGGGTATAGTGTTTTATGGTGTCTGGTCTAATAGAAAGTTAATTTCAATGACAGAACTTGCAGTGTGGAGAAAGTGTAACCATCGAAGGCCGAGCTTACACCATTTCAGCTGTAACTCATCGTTATCAGCTTCGTAAAGGGAAATACGAGCCTAGTGAGAAGAGGCTTGATGTGTTGTCTACTGGAAGATACATCTTAAATTTGTACTTAGAAAATTTGCTAGAACAATCTTGACTATGATGTAGATTACTCCACTTTTCCCTTCATCTTTATGTATACATTATGAAAATACAACTTCATTCAATTGCCTGTGTCAAATGAACTCGTTTGTTATTTTTGCTTGCAGTATGTCTCAATCATACATCATATCTCAACACACACGAAAGAAAGAACAACGTAAGATTTCTTTCGATCTTAGTAGTATCAGGTATTTAGTGAAATAGTCGAACTGGCTTAAACACTTGTGTTTCCAAGTACATACCAAACAAAGGAGAATGTTACCATAAAGGGGAAATTTTTATAAAAATAAGGGAATTGGTACTATATTTTATGTTGATGGTAATGGAAACTTTCCTACATTGAAGAGCTTAATGGTGGTGAATGATATGTGGGAATATAGACTCTTATTACAATGACAATGATGATTGGGTAAAAGCATAAAGCATGTATAGTTGATTGCAGACAAAAGGCCCCCAAGATAGCAAGTACTGTCTCACCATCTTTTTCTGCCACGTGTCATTATAAAATTTATTCATGCAAATTATTATTTACACTATTGTGTATGAAGCAGACTCTCAATAAGATATAGGCTATCGACTGATTGACCCCTTTTGAATTTTCAGCCACAAATATATATATGTAGTAGCATATACAACTTGTCCTAAATAAAGCTCATGAAAGATGACATAAAAATATATTAAGTATATTAAAGATAGATTATATGTATATCTTATCTTTGATCTAATTTAGATAGATAAATTATTTTCGTAAAATGTAATTTGTTTCTTGTTTTGAGTGATTATTATTCTGCAAGTGAAGAATGCAATTGCCATTGACCTATGCTATTATAAAAAAAAATTGATTTTAAAACAGAGCAATTTTAACTGTACAATATTTTGTTGTTATAATTTATGCATTAAGTACTACATTAATGGTTTTATCTTTTATGAAATGGTAATAATAATAATAATAATAATAATAATAAAAGAATATAATAATTAAAAGGAACACGACAGGCGGTCCACATGCGACGGTTCCGGTTCACGTGTGTGCACATGTAATACCCCTTTCCCTGTCCCGGTTCAACTTTGGTGCCTCTTATCATGTCATATAGTAATTATTATTTATAGTACTATATACTATTATTATATTACTTTACTAAATTTAGTGCAATTTTGTATAACTAGTACTATTACTATTATTTATTATTATATGTCAAATTTTAACTTTTTCATTTTCTGATTCACCTATCAGAACAAGAATAATTAAAAATATATTTTATTTAATTATTTAGTGACGAATTTAAAATTATTATGAACTTTGAATTGACTAAATGTATATATGTGTGTTTGATTTTTCATCTATGTTTATATTTAACTCGTAAATTTGTAATTGCGTTTTATATGTTAAGCATAATGATTAAAATTTTCATTTGATAGTTGAAGATACTTGTTTTAGTAGTTATTTTTTATGCTGATATTACAAGGCAAGAATGTGCAATTTTTCAAAAGAGAAGTAAAGCATAAAGGAAAAAATCCCACTAATAGTTAAAAGTCTACCCAATTAAAAACTATCATTCTAATAAAGTTGGAATTTATCCAATCTTGAAAATATATAAATGGCATTTAGGACGAGGGTAAAAAGTACTATTTTATTTTTGAATTTTAAATTTTATAATCAAGTGATAAACGATTAAAGCTCAATTATCCTGAGATATTAGTCTGATTACAGTTAATATATGTATAAAAAATATGCATCGTAAGATTATACAATTTTTTTAAAAATAATTCAAACTTCAATTTCAATTATATTAGCGATAGAAATTAAATCATAATCTAAAAGGATTTCCTTCGAATATAATTCAAATAAGGGGAAAAGGTGATGAATATGGATTATTAAAAGTTTAAAAGTATATAACAAAGCCAATAAATGTTACTTAGTAGCTTGTTTACACACGTTATTCGTAGCTTGGAAATATGCACAACTAAGTAGCTTCCTTTGAATTGCTTTGACCTTCAAGCAACACAAGTCAAACACGTCATTACTGAGAGATGATTTGATACGAGAATTAAATTATTTTAGACCAATTTATTTCATTGAGATCGGTATTAATTCATTTTGAAATTATTATAGTTATTTAGTTGTATAAATTTATTTCGCTATTTTTTATCTTATTTCGCGTACAAAACAACCTCTAACTCCTAATATTACATCCTCCGTTCATGTTTGACTTGATAAAATGTTGATAATGAATTAAAATACGTAAAAATAAAAGTAAAATATGCATAAAATATAAATTATTTTTTAAACTGAATAATTAAAAATAAATAAATATTTTTAACTTAATAATTGACATATAAATACGGATGATTCAATTTGAAGAAACAGTTGCTCTGATATTCATCAGAATTTTGTCACCTTTTTTTATTTTTATTTTAAAATTAAATGACATATGTTATTATAGTATTAAAAGATTAAGATTGAGTATGATTTCTTTTTTAAAATAGCCTTTACTAAAACTTAAGTTTCATAACAAATATGTCATATAATGTCAAAACTTGGAGCAATATGCAAAAATGTGATAAACAACTATTCTTGGGACAGTTTTTTTTGTACGTATATATATATTTTCAAGTCTCTTTATTCATCTTATCTTATCATATTATTGATTGATTGATAAACAATAATTGAAGTGATTCTATTTTTTCCATTGGCACATATGGTTTCAATTGGGTAACGTACCTGGAATTTATTGTATATTTCAAATTAGAATTTTGAATTTTTAAAATCGCAACCTATTTAATGAAAACATGCTTTTTCACTTGTATGAAATTCAGAGGCTCTGTCACACTCAAAATATTTGCAGAAAACAAAAAAATCAGCAGTAATAATAAATTCAATTTAATAATTAAAAAATAATTACTATTTTATAAATATCATATATTATCAATAATTAAAAGTAAGTATTAACAAAAATAGCAGTAAAATATTAATATTATAAGTTATAATAGTCAATGATTAAAAACTAGTGTATATTATTACTGTGCATTTAATAAAATAAATAAGACAAATAAATTGAAACGAAATAATATTTTGTTTTTTGTTTTCGTAGTTTACCGAAGAAAAGAAGCAGCGTATATGATTACAATATAAGCGTTTACAAAAACAAGAAAAGGTGAAGATGAAGGAGAAAACAGAGTAAAATATAGAAAGAGAAAGAGAGAGAAAATCTTATGTATCAATTTCTTGACTAAGCTCTATTCTATTTCATTTGTTTGTTGTGAGTTTTGTTTGATTGATTCATTTACTCTGTTTGTATCCAAATATAATAATTAGTCACTCACTCTTTTTATTGTTACGATCGGATCTGAAAAAGGGAGAGGACCCAGAAAGAAAAAGGTGCAAAGCTGTTACCCTTTTTAAGTGGAAAGGGTCTCAATAATCATGGCACATCATTCATTTTTCTCCATTTGATAATCAGGTGATTTCAACAACCTATTACTCTCTCTGTCCACTTTTTTTTTTTTTGATTTATTTGTGGATATACATCTTTTCATTGATCCTTTTGGTGGAATTCTATGATCATTTAATTCTGTGATTTTACTGCAATTCTATGTAAAGTTTTGTAATCAATGCTACATTATGAGATGACCGAATCAATTTATGGTAAAATTATTCAAAATTTAGTTGAAAATTGTGAAATTTGAAAAAAAAAGTATTTAATTTTGTTTTCAAAATGGAAATTGGAGTTATATATGACCATGATATTGGTATTTTTCAAAAGTTGAATTTCGGATTTAAAGCCAAAAATGATCTCCAGAATTCAACTCCGGGAAAGAGTAAAAAGTATTCATGGTCAAACTGTTAAGTAGCTAATTTTTCTTCACTTTTAATTGTGTAATGACAGTGTTTATACCAAAAAATTACAATGGAGTCTCTTGTTGATGGAATCAGTTCCTTGCCGAACGTTCACAATTCATTCGCTGCGGTTGAGTGCAATACATCTTTGGCCTCCAAGATAAGTCATCCTCCTTTGATGAAACAATCCGAAAACAAAGAGGCATCTATCTCATATCCAATAGCGATGGACCTTGGTTCCACCGTAGCTCATACTCAAACTGGATCAGTGACTGGTTCAAAGCATTTTAAAGCAAATGAAGATACTGTAAATCAATCAGCAGAAGGTTGTTCAGGAGAACAGGTTTTGGCTTTGGAAACTGAATCATCTATCAAGGATTTACATCATGTTTCGAAAAATGGTACTTCAAACGATGATTTGAATGCGACTGCCAAAGACTCAGGAATCACCTACTGTCCTAGTCCTCAAAACAGTTTTTATTCTGCTACACAGTACACAGAAGCCAAACAAAGTTTTTCCAACACAGAAGTCAGTGAATGCGCTAGCAGCACTGTGGACAAGTCTGGTGAAAGTGGTGATGTTAGCAACTCTTGTGATCTTGTTGAGAGCAGAAAAACAAGCTTCTACAGAGGCAGCACAGGTAGTGACGTTAGTGATGAAAGCAGCTCTAGTAGTTTCAATAGCACAGTATATAAACCACATAAGGCAAATGATACAAGGTGGGATGCAATACAAGTTATTAGAGCCCGTGAGGGAACATTGGGTTTTAACCACTTTAGACTGTTGAAGAGATTGGGATGTGGTGATATAGGAAGTGTTTTTCTAGCAGAGTTGATTGGCACAAGATGTTTCTTTGCCATGAAAGTGATGGACAAGGCAGCTCTAGAAAGTCGCAAGAAACTCGTGAGAGCTCAAACGGAAAGAGAGATACTGCAGTCTCTGGATCATCCCTTTCTACCAACACTGTATTCGCACTTTGAAACAGATAAATTTTCGTGCTTGGTGATGGAATTCTGCCCTGGTGGAGATTTGCATGCACTTAGGCAAAAGCAGCCAGGAAAATTCTTCCCGGAGCATGCTGCCAGGTTAGTGTTTGTCCGCATATCATATTCACCTCTTTGCTTTGTGTTCAAAATATCCAACTATCGCTGCGATCTTAATGAATAAAGAACTTTTAACATTGCTTCCTGTATAAACCAATCTGTTACCATCATCGTTATGCTTTAAGTGTCTTAAAAGTTCATAATAGTGGAAATGACTTTAATCTATTATGCAAGGAAGATCCTGTGCATATATGCCTTCTTCTAACTGTCTCACCTCTTTAGGCATTGCGCTCAAACAATGATGAGTGAGATCCACTGCTCTGTGCTTATAGCTGTTGACTTTTTTTCCCCAGCTGTTTATTAGATCCGTATCTGTATGTTTGCCTTGATATCTCTTCAATTAAACATGTTGCTTATTTCCTAGCCTTTTGTAATTTTTCTCAACATTGAGTTCAGACCTTTCTTGTTGTGTGCAGTCCCAGTAGCAAATATTGTTTTCCAGTTGCATGCTCGTATTCATCACTGTCATTTGGAAACTGACTGGTATAATGTTCTAAAATTTTGTTAGCTGGGGCCAAGGGAATTGAATATAACCGAGTAGTTTGTTTCGTAGGAACCAAAGATAAGTCCATTCAGATAGACTTGAGACGTTACATCTACCGTAATCAATGATAGTTTAGGTTGGAGTTACGTAGTTATGACTTATGATTGAGTTTTGTTATGATTTTTACTATTGATTCTTTTTATTGGGAATATAGGTTTTACGTGGCTGAAGTCCTTCTTGCTCTAGAGTACTTGCACATGCTTGGAATCATTTACAGAGACCTTAAACCAGAGAATGTTTTGGTTCGAGAAGATGGCCATATAATGCTTTCTGATTTTGACCTCTCCTTGAGGTGTGCCGTGAGCCCAACTCTAGTTAGATCTTCAAATTCAAGCTTAGAGTGCAAGAGCTCATCATACTGTGTCCAGCCTGCTTGTATTGAGCCATCTTGTGTCGTACAGCCTGCATGTATACAACCTTCATGTTTTACACCACGTTTTCTAAGCAAGAACAAGAAAGAAAAGAAGTCCAAACAAAAGACAGAAACATATAACCAAGTGAACCGGCCTCTTCCAGAACTCCTTGCTGAACCAACGAGTGCTCGATCAATGTCTTTTGTGGGAACACATGAGTACCTAGCTCCAGAAATTATAAAGGGTGAAGGACACGGCAGTGCTGTAGATTGGTGGACATTTGGGATCTTTCTCTATGAACTCTTGTTTGGACAAACTCCTTTCAAAGGTGCAGGCAACAGGGCAACATTGTTTAACGTTGTTGGACAGCCCTTGAAATTTCCTGAAACACCTAGTGTTAGTTTTGCAGCAAGGGACTTGATAAGAGGCCTACTTGTGAAGGAGCCACAACATCGCCTTGCATATAGGCGAGGGGCTACTGAAATAAAACAACATCCTTTCTTCCAGAATGTGAACTGGGCACTTATAAGATGTACCAGTCCTCCAGATGTACCAAAGCCGTCCTCCATGACATATGATATGCCCCGAACACCACCAGCAGGAAAGGCCCCCGGACTTGATGTGAAGCCTTCAGGTAATTATTTTGAGATTGATTTCTTCTGAAGAATTCTTTTCCTTGGCAGCAATGCCCCCATTGCCGTTCTACGAAGAGCTCAACGTTGAGGAAGACACAGTTTTTGTGTTCCTTTATGCTAATGTAAAGTGCATACTCTGTTGAAATGCAAGATGCATAGGAATTAGATGGTGAAGGCCATTTTTCTTTGTATAAGTATGTTGTTGATATTAATGAAGAAGGCCTTGATGTGGCTATAAAGCTAGGCATTGCTGGATGTGATGTTTTAAAATTTTCAATTGAAGAATCAAAAGTTGATGTGCCATAATCCAGTCATTTAAAAAGTTGATGGCAATTAGGAGTATTGGATGGAACTGCAAATGCGTAACAACAATAATGTTTTATTCTTAAACAAGTTAGGGTCGACTCTATAATTCTTTTGGATGAATTAAAGAAAAATGTTTACTTTGATTTGGTAAACATAACTCAAAGAAAGTTTATTAAAACAGATGAATTTGGCACCTATGGTCCCCAAAGTATACAGTTGGACCATTTTCATAAACAATTCATTACTAAAAAGTGATTTCCATGGGGAAACATTTTGATGGATTTTCAAATTGGAAATTTCTTAACGATAACTCAGTTTTCATTACTTGCGACTCACATACTTTGTATTTATAAATGAGTCATTCTTCACCAATCCCATTAATTTTCTAGACCAAAAGTATCAAAGTTTGTACATCTAAAGGATTATGTTTCTTCAAATGTCACATAAGAAAGATGAAAATAAATTGATTATCAGGGATCAATGATCATAGTGTATTTTTTTTATACCATTAACAATCAAGTAAATTTAATTGATTTTCATATTTAAATTTGAAAATATATACTGTATTATTTAATTGATGGGAGTAAATATATAGTATTTTTTATTCTGTTATTTTGCTGGAGAATTGGTCGTTGTCAAAATTATCATTTCTTCGAAGTCAGTGGCGGGTGTGCCTTGTTAGGCTTCCCATGCCTTTAAATCATTCTCTCTCCTCTTCAATCACATTTTGCTTGCACTTCTCTCCAAAACCTTTCACTCGCTTTTCTGCACGAGCCCTAGTTAACGCCATGGCCGGAACACCGGAGAACTTCTCCACCGACGCTACTGCCGACGCTGCCAACGCCGACGAGGACGTCAAGTTTGGGTTTCAGCGTTCGGAGATGTACCAGAGTAAACTTGCAGGTACTACGACCTCCTATGATCGTCATCTGTTCCTCTGTTACAAGTCTCACGAGACTTGGCCTGCTCGCCTTGAAGCTTCTGACTCCGATCTGCTTCCAAAGTCACTCTCTGCTGCTCTTAAAGCTCGCAAGGATGACATCAAAATCAAGGTTAGGTTTTCTAAAACTGATTGTTTTTGTCAATAGGGGCTAGGAGAAACTTCATTGTTGTGATTACTGCGTCTTTATGTTCTAATGTCTAGAACGACTTAAAGGTAATATGTTGTCACTGGAATAATTTTCTGCTTATGTGATTATTTCTGGAGTGAATCCAACTGATTTGACATTTTGGTTTAGTTTATTGGTCGATATTGATTGATTTTTTCCGATGAGTGTTTGCTGTAGACTCTTTTGACAATATGCGAAGTACGTGATGACATGGAAGTATCAGAAGGAGATATTCTGATTTTTCCTGAAATGATCAAATACAGGTAGTTTATTTGTTCATTCATTTTTTCTAAAATTCGGCATTGAGCGGCACAAAGCTGATATTCCATGCATTGTGGGGGCTGACAAAATGACTCAATTTTAAACAAGAAAATGACAAATAAGATTCATGAATTTGACTTGATTCTATTAGCTGGATCCAAGTTTTCTGATATTTAGAAGAAAACGGTTTGTAGATACCACACTGAAGTCGCCTTTTAGTTTTCGTGCTTTCTCTTGGATAGCTTCAAAATGTCGATCTAAACGTGTATGCATTGTCGGATTCGTCCGGATCTGTTGAGTCTCGTGGTTTGCATTGAAGCCTTGTTTTTATGATGAAGGGATTTGAAGGAGTCAGATGTGGATGCATTTGTTGATGATGTGCTTGTCAATGGCAATACTTGGAGCTCTGGATTGCAGGAGTCGCTGAGTGGTTCTTATGTGTTTGTCTGTGCCCACAATCTTCGTGATCGAAGATGTGGTGTTTGTGGACCTATTCTAATTGAGGAATTTAGCAAGCTCATTGAGTCCAAGAGCTTGAAAGACAAAGTTCGTGTGACAGCTTGTTCTCATATTGGTGGCCACAAGTATGCTGGTAATGTTATAATCTTCAGCTCAGGAAAGGACGGGAATATTGTTGGCCACTGGTAAGTCATATTTTTCAACGGACGACCTGGAATTTCACCACTAGCCTCCAGATCAATTTGTAATCTAACAACGGTAGCATGATTGAAAATGTTATTTTCATGAAGATAAAGTTATTTTTAAAATCTCTTACCTTGCAAACTATTATATACTGATAAAGGAGATGGAAGGTGGGAGATGGGTCATGTGGGGTCGGTGGGTGATATTTTCAAGTGCCAAATATTGACTCCATTAGTTACATATTGGTTGAAGCAAGTGCAATAAAGTAAGAGTTGTGGTACATTAGAGGAATGGTCATTTTCTCCATTCAGTGCAAAACATTTTCGTTGTGAGAAGATGTTGAACAATTAAGCCTACCTAGAAAATGATTTTGCAAAGAAAAACACACATTGCAAGCAGCATATCAAAGATCAATAAAGAAACTTTGCCTTAAGACTGTCCATTACATACATGTTATATGTGCTCTATGTTGTGTTAGTGCAGGTATGGCTATGTTACGCCAAGTGATGTACCTGCTTTGCTTGATGAGCATATTGGAGAGGGAAAAGTCATTGAACGACTTTGGAGGTTTGTATTGATTGTCCTCTCCCTTTTTTTTCTTTGCATGCTTTAGTGCTGTTTTGCTTCATGGCACAGCTAAATCACGAGGAAGTATCTTAATGTTTTCCATGGTTTTAATTCTAGGTAGATGTATATATTACTCTTCAACTATGAGATTGTGCTCAACATACTCTATAACTGCAATTGTGCTTATTCCTATGCCATTTTTGTCTATCCTTTCATTTTGAGGGAGCAACAGTTGCTTCCTTTTCCTTACAGGTTTAGGATGGGAACATGTTACTTATTTAATTTACTATCACAGTATCACTCACTCCTCTTCTGTCACGACCCAAAAATGGACGTGATGGCACTTATCTTATCCCACCAAGACAAGTCAGCCTAAAACTCAACTTATTACAATAAAATGCGGAAAATTTACTATCGACTTATATTATACCCCAAAACCTGGTTGTCACGTGTACAGGCCTCTAAAGTATTACAATTGATTCAAAAGAAAACTCAAGTCTCAAATGAACTTGTTTCTAGAATAGAACAAGAACATAATTAAGGAGAAGAAAGTCTGCTGCAATGGAAATAGCTACCTGACAAATCTCCAAGAAGCCTCGGAAAAGAAGAGAATGACAAGTACAACAAAAATCTAGGCTCATAACCTACAAAAATTTGTAGAAGCAAGGGGTGAGTACCAAACCACACGGTACTCAGCAAGTAAACGTCTAAACACAAGCTAAGGGGATGAAATACGGGTACTCCTACCACCCCAATCGAACCTCCACAATTACAAACTACATAAAATCCAGTCTAACCTAACAGTTCATATTTACATAGCACGTAACTCTACAACAACACTTAGACAAATTACATATACATCCTCCACAACCACACTTTACCAAATTACATATCCTCAATAACAACACTTCAACAAATTATATATCCTCGATAAAAACACTTCAACAAATTGCATACCCTTAACAACAACAATTCAACAAATTACATATCCTCAATAACAAGCTCAGTATTCATCAATCACAAATTTCGCAGAAAGTCAATCACAAGATCAGCAAAACACAATATCAAGTTCACCAATGATAAGTATGTGTAATGCAATGTCAAGTATAATGATGCATGTCTGACTTATTGATACACACCCGCTGTCTCTCAGTCCGGGACCCATGGGGGACATATCTGTCCATGCATCTGTCGCGGCGTGCGACACGACCCTCGATAATAATAACCATCACGGCGCGCGATACGTCCCTCGAAATATAGTATCCATCGCGGCGCGCGATACGTCCCTCGAAATATAGTATCCATCGCGGCGCGCGATACGTCCCTCGAAATGGTACATCCTCTTTAAGTTCTCATTCTTTCTCAATGCACATAACACTTTTCACAATCATGTCATCAAAATAATGCAATGCCATGTTCATACAAAAATAAAGAGGATATCACTATTTTAATAACATTACACAATTCACAACAACATCAACAATGATTCAACAAGCCTTTCAAATCATTCTCCATTATCAACACATCACACACAACCCATTATTCACATTGCCTTTTATTACCCTTTTGTTTTCCTCATTAGAATTAATCAATGTGGACAAATCAACCCATCACCAAGTCCCATTACTCCCAAACATATAGCATAAGGAAATACATGCATTCCATACACTTAACAAGAGTTTAGAAATTCACTTGCCTCAATTTATCGAACAGTCACTCCGGGACTTTAGTCTTCCCCCTTTGTTGCACTTCCAAATAAAATTCAGTCTATTCAAATAATTAAACACTATAAGGTTTCGAAGTTAACAACACACATATTGCACGTGTCTATACTAAACCAAAAAAACTCACGCAAATTTATAATTAAGTTCTTAAGTTTCAAGATTAGGATTAAATTTTTAATTTCTTTTCAATATCATAAATCTTAAGACATTCACTTAATACCATATACCTAATACTTAATTATATATATTAATATATCAAAACTTAAATGATAATATGGAAACTATTAAAAGGATCTCAAATTGATCCGCTTCTAGGTTAAAGGGAAGCACTAGACTCACTCCACGGGAACTCGCTTTTCGGTTTGCTTCAGATTTGGCATTCATTCCCCTTCCCTTTCCTGATGCAATTCAAATTGACAAGTAGTAGTGACAGCATAATAAATGTCCGGAGGACAGAACAAAATCTTTAATTCCCGGGTTTCCTTAAATTTATATCACCCATATTTGAACACCAAAATAAAGATATTTCATGAAATACTTTTATACGGAAGGCTTCTTGCATGTCTATTTACCTCCCTTCCCAATAATTGTTTCATGATCATCAACAATTGGTCATAATTACTCAATGACTAAGGTGAAATTTATGCTAAATAACATATGCATACATGTACACAAAATTAAAATTAGTTTCACA